CCCGGTCCCGGTCCGGTACGGGCACAACACTGAGGGTTGCAATCCGTTGCCGGACATGAAAAAAGACAAAAAGGAAAAAAAAAAAGAAATAAAATATTGGGGGCCGGCCCGGTGGCGCACTGCTACAGTGCGCCGCTTGTGAGCGCGGTGGCGCTCCTGCCGAGGGTTCGGATCCCACATACAGACCGGTTCCCGCTCACTGGCTGAGTGAGGTGCGGGTGCGACACGGAGGGTTGCTATCCCGTTGCCGGTCCCGGTCCGGTACGGGCACAACACTGAGGGTTGCAATCCGTTGCCGGACATGAAAAAAGACAAAAAGGAAAAAAAAAAAGAAATAAAATATTGGAATGTGATAGAGCCACATGATAAAAAAGACAGCCATGAAAAGAATGTTAATGAAATGTTAACTGATGTGACTAAAATAATGATACAAAATTTTATAGCCAGTATAATCCCACCTATATGAAAAAGATGTAAAATATTATAGCTGAAAAACACCAGAATAGTAATCACAGTGGAGGGGCTGATGAATTACTTATTTTTCTTTGTTCACTTTTCCAAACATCCAAAGTATTCTAAATGATGGATACACTCTAGCTATAATTTTTGAAGTGAACTTGAAAAATGTAAACAAACCCACTCAAAATAAAAACAAGTCTGTTTCTTAATTAAAATAAAAGGATTTCACACCGAATTCCTGAATGGGTATCCGTAATAAATTAAAAACTCTTCCCTTTTTTAAGACCATGATAGAGTACTTTACATACACCAACCTTCACAATTTTTCCAAATTATTTTCCAAATGCTTACCACTTGTGAAACCACAAACACCTATAAATATCAATCCATTTCTATCTGCTCCCATAAAAAAAAAATCTTAGTGCATATTTATGCAAATAAAGGAGTTTAAAATGAGCTGAGAGCAAGTCAATGTACTCTGAATTTAAATTTTCTGATTCTCAAGGACGCAGTGTCTGTGGACGTAGGCAAGATTTTCGTTTGCCAGAACCTCCTCCTCCAAACTGATAAAAATGAAAATGTTTGGTCACCTTTGGCACCAGGACCCAGCAGGTGTCTATCTTCCTCTCTTCCCCTGGGGTAGCCGATAGCCCTGCGCTGGCCCACTCCCTCCAGAGCAGCCTGCAAAGGGCTGGGCAGCCTAGTCAGCATCACTCTCTACAGTGCACGGTTGCCAGGGAAATGGAATTTCTCTCATGATCCACAGAGCCTGTCACATCTCAGCCTAAGATTTTTCTCTTCCTAAGAGAGCCAAGGTGACACTGATGGCTAATACCATGTGCCCCAGGCCCTTTGGGGCTTATACTGCTTGATGTGTATGAAGAGATTTTGCCCACAAAAGGCTCTTCATTACACACTGTTTTCTCTCACAGCTCAGAATGTTTATTAACATTTGACAACAGAGGGCCGGCCTGTGGCTCACTCGGTAGAGTGCGGTGCTGATAACACCAAGGCCCCGGGTTCGGATCCCATATAGTGATGGCCGGTTTGCTCACTGGGTGAGCGTGGTGCTGACAACACCAAGTCGAGGGTTAAGATCCCCTTACCGGTCATCTTTAAAAAAAAAAAAAAAAAAAAATTTGACAACAGAGCCAAAGGG